AAGGGAAACATTCATTATTATCGATCTGATTTCTTTCGATCTATCGATAATTTTGTTTTCCTTTAAGATTCAATCGGTTGGAAACTTGCAATCATCCCACTGGAAGCATTACCACACCGTGGTCGTCAATGTGTTCCTTCTGTGTTAATATCTTCAAACACATTCCAATTACAAATTGACAACTGATCTTGTTTAGGCAAAAATAATGTAATATGTGGATTCAGAAATAAAACTGTTCTAAACTGATTTAACATAACCAACCCAACCAAACTTTATCTAGGCCTACCTACCATTTCAATATTTTGTTTGATACCTAACAGAAAAGACACGTGGGTAATATGAAACGGAAATGTTACAGCAAGTTTGGCTGGTTAGGTAAGGTTAGTTTAGAAAAGTTTAGTTTCAATATAATATTTTTTTTAATTGTTTGTTGATAGGCTACTGAACAATATTAATTTATCGTTGTTGTCAGCTGATATATCTCATTCGTTAATATCGGTATATCGGATCAAAAAATAAAATAGGCTATCAATGTAAGTAGCCTATCGAAAAAAAAAAATCATCGATAATAATTTACGTTCCCTCTAACAAAAAAGTGGGCCTATCAAAAAAAATGTTTGAAATGGCCTAAATAATAAGAAAAATACTTTTTTACATTTTATCTCTGTGTGACCTGTATGGCATAGCCTGTACAAGTTATGTCAATAAGGCCTATATTGAAACACGATGCCTATTTTAGTTAGGCTAACTTAAGTTATGTCCATAACCTAAATAAGTTCAAAGCCAACAAAGAAAATTCTGTGATGGACAAACAGATGCAAAACATGTGATTAGTGCAATCCCTATTCAATTCATTAACTTAATGCCATAAACTTCCACTGGGCCAGAGACTGTATGTTTAAATGGGGACCCTCCTACCCTTAACGGGGTTAACAGCCAAACATTGAATGTTTAGCTGTTCATTTAACCTGTACGTGAATCAAACCTGTGGATCTAGAAAGACCTTAGAGCTACACTTGTCAGTGCAACAACCCCACAGAACCACCAAGTCACCGCAGTCAGCTGAGACAAGTGCTCTACTGCTAAGTTAGGCTGATGGACCTAGAGAGCCAGTGGGTTGGCATTAAGACTACCTCTCCACACAATGCTGCTTACACTCATCAAACATTCTTGAAGGATTAACAAAGGAAAGGCCTAAGTTTAGAACATTATCATAAAAATGTTTGAGGGAGGTCAACACCAAATCAAATTAGGCCTAGGTAAGTTAGTTAAAAAAATCTAAGCTGCAACAAGCTACGGTACCTCTTGTTACTCTTCACATTTAAGGGAAAATTTACTTAAAAGGCCTCAGTTACGTTAATTAAAGTTAAAAGGTTGAAGTTCCGTTTAAGCCTAAGATATAAATAAGTTAGGTTGCATTAATTAATTTTATGGTAGTTTGGCTTCTTACCTAAGTTACAGCAAGTTAAGTTTACTACCTGCCTATGCCCTTACTTATACCAAGATGAATGTAAAAATGCCATCCCTGTTTGTCGGTTAGGAAACAAACTTTAAGAGGCGGTCTGGGAGCTCGAGCCCAGCTAGTACGCGCCTAGGGTTAGACGCGCCTAACTTTAGTCCCCAGACCAAAAACCAGGCTTGGGAGCTCGCGCCTAAGTTGAAATGATCATAGATCAAGTACAATCGCGACTAAGTCGCAGCGCGGCTCAGAGAGATGGACAGGGAATCGCGGGGGATTCAGGTTTTGACGTTGGCGACGGCCACTACAGAACACGTTACCGTTGACACGTGTACAAAAGACAACAATTGAAGATGGATAGCCTACAATTTTATCTTGGTATATCAATGGTGGCTAATTAGTAGACTATGGTGTAAGTTTCTGCATTGTACCTTTGCAAAAATGTAGTTTTGTAAGATTAATGTTTTACATCTCAATGACTGAAGAACCATCCGTAATTCTTTATATTAAATTCTTTTAAGATCTAACTTTATTTTCACTTTACGATTTAGGCTATAATTATTTAATCAGTTGTCTTTAGGCTAAGTACTACTAGTTGTCTTTTAGTAATTGCGGAGGTTATGATCGGGTGATGCAAAGGTAAATGTAAAATATATCTTTTAATACTTAAAAATTGTTGCAATAAAAAAAAATTAAACTTGACACTCTGTTATCTAATTTTCCTATAGGGAAGTAGCTATTACCGTAGGTAGCACTTAGTTCTGTAGTTTGGTCGTTTATGGATATATGTTGATGAAACTTGGCAAATTTATTTATTTTATATAAAGCTGTTAGGGTGAAGTAGGGTAAGTGTGACCTAAAAATAATAAAGTTCATCTTTACAACTTTTTTTCTCGGTTATTTCTAAAGCTAGAAACTTGAAATTTTTAACACTTAAACTTTGGAAATATCTTTATTGGTAAAAAAAAACCAATGTGATAAACTTATGCTTTCACTATTTTTTTTTTACTTACAAAAAATGCCTGCCAGCTCTCAAATTTGCCCCATGGGGTCGGGGCAAGTGTGATAGCGGCCTCTATAAAATCCTGTATCTCTTTTAATGGTAAATGGGGGAGTGATAAATAGGCTACCCAGTTAGTGCTCTTTCAGGAACATTTTGATTTAAGTCCCTATCATTCTTACTTTTTGAGATATTTACAAATGAAATAAAGACGTACAAATCTGCGGAAAATTGTAAAAACTTGCGTCAGATCACACAGATTAACATCAGATCACACTTGTCCCGGGTGTCGGTGTCACACTTGCCCCAGCCATTGAAAAATTCCGGGGTAAGTGTGACATGTGGTTTTAAATTTAATGATAAATTTGTATAGGTACCCATTTTAAATATTTTTTTTTTAAAGTTTAGCTTTTAGGCTCTTTAAAAATCTGAGTTTGATATAAATTGGTGAAAATTTAAAATAACTACAAATTAAACAAAATTTCCGAACAAACTTCGATTTTGACCTAAAATGTCGGACTTATAAAAACCAATAAAATCAACATACAGTAGTTACTAAATTGATAAAAAAAACTAGCCTATGTAACTAGATACCTTAGCCTATATGTCAAACATTATTTCTATGACAAAACCAATTTTTTCAGCGATTCCCAAAAACAAGATGGCCGGCTATCACACTTACCCCGCTGTCACATTTACCCCACTCCACCCTAATATTTTTGTAAAAACACACACTTTATTGCCCTCCCTGTAGCAGCATATCTAAGTACACGTAGGTAGTTTTAGTTACGTACTTGTTTAACCTAAAGCTATTTAAATAAATTCAATTGGAAGTCCTATTAGGTTATTGGAAATTCGCTTAGTCTGCAGGTTTTCTGTGGCGGAATTATTGATATAAGTTAACACGATGACTGCTGAAAACAACGTACAGGCGCTCCCCAGTGGCGGGCGAAGCCCCGGCACGCAACCGAATCAGCGAACGCAATTGGCATTCAAATATTTCAGTCTGACGAATCACAAAAGAGCAGTGGTGACTGTGATGCGTTACCCCGAGAGTGGATGTAGTTCACTGAAACACCCAAAGGTAGCAGCACTGCACGGATCCGTATCCAGTGTCTTTGTAATGTGGGTTGAAGAGAAAAAAATCCCCGAAACCGGGACAAAAGCATTGCCAGACAGGATTTTATGGGAAATTTTAGTACCAACCTACAGCAAAGTAAAGCTCGCATTCTAAGCTGGCAGGCTGGCAACGATTATAATGTAACGTCTCCGTCTGAGGCTAAGCTCACACTGACTCAATATATTTCTGTTGGTCTGGCACCCACTTTTGTCGGCGCCCGCCACATTGAAGTGCTAGCGACGCCGACTAGAGTCGGCATTAGCAGTCAACGTGTTAACTTACTGTATATATTTTCTTACTCCAAATAATCTAGGTACGGTAGGCCTACCGGTACTCCATTTTGATGTAACCAGCACTTGGTCAATGCCACTGAACTGAGCTCAATCACAACACAATTAAAAGAAAACGATTATGCCTGTGAGCTACGTTATTTGCAGTTTTTTTTTAAGTTTTGTTTACTATCTCTTCACTCTTTCGTAGGGGGTGAGTGGGGGGTATTTTTTTGGGGTTGCTAATTTTTTCCAAGCTAATAAAATACGGTATTTATTATTAAGGTACGGGTGCTTATAACCAATCTCTCAGTTGAAAGAAATTCTATTTAGGGTCCATATTTTTATTGCAGTTAACAGTAAAACAAAAAACAAATAAATCTTTTGTTAAATTACTTTTAGAGATTTATGTTTTATTTTGAACAACAGAAACCTAAAAAAAAACTTTTATCAAATATACTTTGAGAGTATCCTACCGGTACCGTAATGAAATTGTAGGAATTTAATAACGTATTCCAATAAGTATAACATTCTTTTAGTTAATATGTAAACAATTAAGTTAACTTGCTAATGAGGTAACTGGCATGATGTCGACTTAGACCTGCCCCCTGGCAGGACTAAGTTGGGGACTAACTTAAACTTGCTAATTTTAATGACGAAAATAACTTAACTTATATCTCTTAGTCCCGAAATTGGTCTCCCAAACCCACCGAGACTATCTCTTAGGCTGGCGCCTAAGTCTACTAGACTCCCAAACCAACAATATTTATTAAGCTTAAGCGCAATATTATCCCTGCCAGTTTGGCGCGCGCCTAACTGATCCCGAGCTCACAAACCCGCTTTCGAGGCGGCAGCTTAAAATACCTGAAATATCCGGTTTTAGTCGCGGACTAGCGCTAATACCGAGCTCCCAAACCACCTCTTAGTGTCTTAAAACTAAAATGAAAGTTAACAAACCACTTAGGCCTAGCCTACTTAGGCACAATGAAGACTACCTAGCCTAACTTGTAGTGGATTTGATGAATAAAATATGAGGAACAAAAAAGCACAATAAGGTAGGTAACTTTTAAAAGTGTTTCGGTTATGATAAATTAATGTATAGGCCCTATTACCAACACAATTAAGTAAGTTAGGCTAATGAATTTCACTTACCTTCATGAATTAAATCTTCTCTAACAGGATTGGTTATAAGAAACTGATCAGTGAGAAATTGCAAAACTTTCAATCTGTTCTCCACATCTGTAAATGGATATTCACAAGTGTTGAAGATTTTAAGAACCTCACAATCAAAGTGTCTGTCGCTTTCAACATAAGCCCTCAGGACCTCTGGCCAAGTCATAGCATCGATGAAAAACAACACAACGTTAACACTATCTTTCTGATCAAGGGGTCCAAAATGGGTTTGCTGGGCATCTTCTTCCCGCAAAATGGCCTTTAGTAACATAATGTGTATCTCAGCCAAAAGATAGCTTTGATCTTCATACATTAACACAGCGCAAAAATCTTCGAATCTAAATGGTGATAGTCTTACTAGGCTTCTAAAATGTCTCAAGACCTCATAAATGGACAAGGCTTGCATCACTAAGTCTCTTGGAATAAGTAAATCATCAGAGGATTTTGGCAGCTCCAAGACAGGAATGTCTCTGTTTTGAAGCCAAAATGGTTCTGGGCTAGGTCTTCTATTCAAAATAGATTTCCTAGTCGTTCCACTTGTTGTGCTAAAGCTGGAAAGGGAGAAATCACTGTCACTTAGATAATCCTTGCCTCCCGCACTCCCATCACATTCACTATCACTTCTCAGAAGAATATCATCCTCATGGTCACTTTTACCACTTGATTCATCGCCAAAATCTGATCCATAATGGTACTCACTGTCTTTCTCATCAATAGCATCTGGATTATAACCCCTTCTATGATAAGACCCTCCTCTACCTCTTAGAGATTTAGGTCTTCCTCTGGATCTTCCACTTCTTCGGCTACTTTCACTGCCTATCGGAGAAGATGCTCTTGAAGCAGTTGGAGTGCTGGTTTGTGAGTTGGGAGTATCAGAACCTTTCATATCATTGTTTAGCAGATATTTTGGCTTTTTTAACAAATGGTATTGAAATTTTCTGGGTCTTTCCATTACAACCGATTTGGGGGGTCTACCCCGTCTCTTAACACCCCTCGCAGACATCTTTGTTGATATACTGTCAATCACTAAAGGTTATTTTACACGTGGGTAATGAGAACACATATTTGTAAACAAATCGAAATGACATAACTTTATCAAAACGGAGTCCATGTTTGCTGGCTCTTCTTTGCGCCATTTTTACCAGTTAGGTCACGTGACCTTTACCTGGATATTTAAACTATATTTGATCCATAACACAAGCACATATCACAACTGGCATAAATAAATAGTAATTTGTCCACAAAACATCGATTTTTCAGCAATGCTTTTATTATAAATTAAACCCTAAGCACAAATTAGACTCACTGACGCGAATTACGAGGTGAAACTGCTGGCTCTACTCTACTTGCTATGGAACAACGCTTCTCATTGGCTAAGAGCAAAGTCGCCATGTCAATACAACTGTTTGGTAAAATTCTTAATAGTTAACAAGCACTTCTCATAACAGTTCATAGTTAGAAAAAATAACTAACTGCTTCGTGAAACTTAAAACACCAAAGTAAGTACTATAGACCTTTCTTTATGCACTCAGAGATAATTCACAAAGAACATTTCTCATAGCAATGACTCAACTATTCAACCAATGGCAACTGGCAACCAACACAGAACAACACGAACACGAACGAACACTGTGTGTGTGTGTGTGTAGTAGTAGTAGTAGCATTGACTATATAACACTACTATAGTTAATGGTAGTAGCATTGACTATGTGTAGTGCCAGTTAAGAGTTAGACTAATAAAGTCAATGTGAGTGGTAGTGTAGTATGAACGAACAGTTAGTTACAGTCAGTACTTTTATTGACACCTACATCACAATATTTTCTTACGAGTATTTTTTTTACAATCTGTTCTATACTGGAACAATAAGTAAATGTCATGACAATTTAACATGAATTAATTACACTCCAGCGAGTGCACTAACATTCAAAACAAAACATTTTATAACAAATTAAACTGATAGGGCTAATTAAAAAATACATTAAAGTTAATATAAATTGATTATTTATTCAACCACATTTCAAAATTTTAATAACATGAATTGTCTATAATCATGCCTATTTCATATTTTTAACAATAATACAAAATTATGGAAGTTATTTATGGTACCCTAACTAGCTGTTATTTTACCCACGAGCTAACAGGTCACCCCGTTTGACTTCATAAGTATTAATAAAACTATTGCGATTGACAGCCTGGCAGTCTATGGGAACTACATATTGAGCTCCCTCCTCTACGTAAAAGAGAATTTAGCTTATTTTTAAAAAAAAAGAGGGCAGCTTCACGGTCACAATCTAAGAAACAACAACCTGATCTCTATTCCCAGATGCCGTACTTCTAAAGTGAAGGACAGTTTCCCACTACTAGCTTAAAATATGTTTAATAGACTACCAGAGAACATTAAGAAACTGGAGCCGAAACTGTTAAAAAAGAAGCTAAAGTCGTTGTGTTGCCCACAGAGGGAACGCGCCAAGGAACCACCACGTCAACCCACCACCACGTCAACTCGCCATCAAAAAAAAAAGAAGTTTGAGGTGGCGGGTTGACGTGGTGGCTCGTTGTCGGGATGGCACGTTGACTTGAGAGTGCACGACAACCCGCCACCTCGGATAAATGAGGGGTGGTGTGTTGTCGTGGGAGCACGTTGTCATGGCGGTGCATAGACGTGTTCGTACACGTCAACCAGCCCCCTCTTTAGTTTGGTGTGGTGGGTAGGTTGACGTGGTGGCTGGTTTACGTCTACGTACGAGGTAGCGGGTTGACGGCACGGAGCATTGAGCGTACACGACAACCCACCAGCACCATCTCGTAAAAGAATGGTGGTGTGTTGACGTGGTGGCCCGTTGTCGCCTATGTGCGAGGTGGAGGGTTTACGGCAGCGAACATGGGGCGTACACGACAACCTGCCACCTTCGTTGGCAAAAGCGGCCGTTGTCCGAGCATTATAAAATGCATCACTTTTGCAGTTGACTTGACGATTTTTTATCTAGTTTACAAAGTACTGTTGGATGTAAAAACATGAGATAATGTTAAGACACTAATTTCGAAGTCGGTTTCCTATAAAAATCTGCCATAAAAATTAATTATGCGCATCCGTGCACGGCCGCCTTTAGCTCCAGGCCGTGGCCTTTGAAGGGGCAACATCGCAAGTGGTGTTGTAACAGCTGTTTTGTTTGGAAGCAGCTAATGGTATTTGTGTATTTACGAAAGATTGGTTACTGGACCATGACAATATTGACTCCGCTTTAAATGTACAGATATAGATTTTTAATTCATATTGTTTCGGTTTTTAATTTTGTATGTTTTATTTCCAATATTTTAATAAATTTATGTTCATGAATTTAAATTTAAATCAATAAAGTGCGAATTAATGAGCTGATGTGATCTGTCTGCCATGTTCTCTTATGGGACGTCTGTCACTAAACACACCACATGCAACGTTGCCCATTCTACCAGGCCGCGGCCTGTAGTTAAAGGCAGCCGTGATCCGCGATGGTGGGAAAAATGTAGAATTTCTAAAAGTTTAACAACAATGTAGACATAACGTAAAATGTTCTCCATAAAATAGCAGTGGAAGCCTTACACTGCTGATTTTTGTTTACTTCTACACACATCGTTCAAGCCAGTACTTCAAGCCCTTAACTCTGCTATGTTGGTACTGTACAGTATACTATATTAAAAACAGGGATAACATTATCTTTAAATTCATTGAGACTTTTCGTTATACCTTAAAATGTTGAAATCAATTATTTTACTGTGCAATTAGCAACAATGTGTAATTTTATTAAGCGTATGATAAGTTGAAGAATTATGGAAAACTAGCAGAGTACCCGTCCTTCGTACGGGGTTGGAATATAAGTATAAAATGCTTATTGCAGTTATACTCAAGCTTTGCGATTGCAATGGGTGGGGGACACAGTTTGATAAAATTTGCTTTTTTAAATTTACAGTATTCTATAGTATTACGCATCTACCATAGCCATAATGTTCTACCATTTTACCTAAACAATAGAGAAAAATAAATTATCAATTCGCAAAATATCACAAATTATTCATGAAATGAAAAACATATACATAACTGTAAACAATCCTACTTTGACAGTTCGCATTGCGAATCACAGTTTTTTGTTGCTGCTTAGTTCAAATTAGCTGTTTTCATAAATGCAAAAAAAAAATATAGTGCTGCACCCTGTTGGTAAATCTTATAACTTTTTAATGCTTTTCCATATCATAGAACCAACTTTTTTTAGTTGAAACAGCTGACTAAATTCTTTAATTCCCTTTAAATATGAATACTCATAAGGTTAACATGGGGAATTACAGAGCCACTGGGGCGGAGCCCGAAAGGATTTTTGAGATAAGAATATGCCTATATTGTGACGTGGGGCCCATATCCCACGCAAGTCGAGAAGACTGCTGAGACAGCATCCCCGAGCCGTGGTGTCTTGGACGAAGGCAGAGGCAGTGAGCTGCGAGACACGGGGCCGAGAAGGTCTCCGAGTACAGAGAGCGTCGGTACTTCCGCGTCGCGCCGACACGCGAACGGGTAGAGGGTCGGTCGGTACCTTGATGTTTTAGCGCAGGGAATTTTATTAATTGTTTTTGTTAGAGTTTAAGTTAGGGAAGTTCGTTATTAATTTTTTTAATAAATGGTTCGTTCGTCTGCTGATTTTGTTGTGTTGTTTTCAACACCTCACCACCTCTCACCCAAGCGAGCACCCCCCCCCCCCCCGTCACAAGGGTAGACGTGACAAATTGGTGGAGACAGGCCGGGTATTCCTGAGACGATTGGAGTCAACGACGGAATAAAAGAGACCGGGGATTATTTAAGGTAAGTGCTAATTTGATTATTTGTTCTGTAGGGTCAAGATTAATTAAAGTCATAACAGAGTAGGGAAGTAATTGATAGACGTTTCTTTTCTTTTCAGGGTTTGATTTTGTGTATTTAATGTGAGGTATTAGTTTAGTGTATTTTGAAGATATTTAGGATTAGTTTTGAGTCACAGTAAAGTTTGGATTTAAAAGTAAAGTAGAGTTTTGCGTAGAAATAAGCGTTTGATTGATGAGTTAATATAGCATTACCCTGTTTAAGTAGAAATAAGTCTCCTTTGGACAGTAAGTGGAAGTCGTCTAGGTACAGGTAGAGGAGGGGCGTTATAAGCCATTCAAATTAATTGTAAAGAAGTTGTGGGTTTTAGTGGGTTGTGGAAAGTATAGATTAATATTTCGTTTTTTTTTGTTTCTATTTATTGTTGACTTACTGGACTAAAGAGTGGCTTATATCAGGTCAACCTCCTCGGGCGTCCGAAGCCTTACTGTCTTAAGCTAAAGGAGATAGATTAAGTAGATTAAGTTGTAAGAGGGATTATTTAAGATCCGTGTGGTCGCAGCGCGCTGTCGTGCGTATGTTAAGTAACGTGTTAAGGGCTTTGCGCGCGTTGAGTTACGGCGAGTAGGCATGTCGTGGAACTATGGTACCGTGTGCCAAGGTCACCATTAGGACCAGGAGTCAGAGTAGGCAGGAACGGGAAGAGATATTAGAGGAGCTACAGCTGCGTCAACCGATACCAGAAGAGGGCCGAGAACAAGAAGGGGACCTTGGTGAGCTGGCACAGGAGGTGGGAGATATCTCGCTGGAAGCTGGGGACAATACCGAGGGATCGGAGACAGAATTTGACGACTCTATCGAGAACCCACCGCTCAGAGCGAGGAATATGGCAGAGGCACGGGGACCGATCATTCAGCCAACGAAGTTTCGGGGAAGTGTGGAAGAGAATGCGGAGGAGTATCTACAAGCGTTTGAACGAGTGTCTCGGGCAAATGGATGGGGCGAAGAAAAGAAGCTAGTGGTACTACCTTGTTACCTGGAAGGAGCGGCCCTTAAATGGTACGAGAACTTAGAACAAGCTGAAGGTGAGAACCTCACTTGGGCGATTGTAAAACAAAGAATGAAGAGCGCGTTCCAGTCCATTGCTTGGGAAGAACAACTAGAATACAGACTGCGGGTGAGAATGCAGAAAGAGGAGGAACCTGTGGAAGCCTATATCCAAGACGTCATCAATCTGTGTACGAAACTCGATCCTGCCATGAGTGAAAGGACCAAGATCAAACATGTACTGCGAGGGTTGAAACCGTACTTATTGGAAAAAGTGATGATGATGGAAAACGATTCCTTGGAAACTCTCCTGGGCAATATTAGAAAAGTGCAAACAGCTCGTTATATGGCTGGACAGAGGGTGGAAGTACTCATGACCGAACAGCCACGAGGCTCGAGTTTAGGTAATACAATGCCCTTGACTGTACCCAATGTGACAACCACCACTTTGCTGGAGAATAAAGTAGAACATCTGGCATCCGAATTTGCGAAAGTAAGCATGAATCTACAAAGGTTGGAATCTCAATCACAGTCCAAAACTTATGTACGACCACCTGCACACAGACCCATAGACCACCAGCGCAGTGGACCAGATCACGAGAGGCTGCCATTTCGAGGCCGAGGTAGGGGCGAGTATAGGGGCGTGTACAGGCCTTTCGGAAGGACCAGTGATGGACGGGTGATATGCTACAAGTGCAACCGAACTGGA